TATCGGCTGGATGGGCTCGACGCTGTGGACCCCAGCCACTCTGGGAGGGAGGATTGGTCGAGGTCAGGAGTTCAAGACCAGCCTGAGCAAGAGCGAGACCCCGTCTCTACTGAAAATAAGGAAAGTTAGCTGGACAACTAAAAATATATATAGAGAGAGACAGAGAAAAAAATTAGCCGGTCACAGTGGCTCACGCCTGGGATAATCCTAGCAGTCAAGGAGCTGAGTGCGGGAGATCGCTCGGAGGGGCAGGAGTTCGCAAGACCAGCCTGAGCAAGAGCGAACCCGTCTTACTCAAAAATAGAAAGAAATTAGCCAGAACAACTAAAAATATATATATAGAAAAAATGAGCCCAGTGTGGTGGCGCACGCCTGTAGCCCCAGCTACTCAGTAGGCCGAGGCGGGAGGCTCGCTCGAGGTCAGGAGGTCGAGGCCAGGCCTGAGCAACGAGCGAGGACCCCGTTCCACTAAAAAAAAAATAGAAAGAAATGACTTGGGCAGCTAAAAATATATATAGGAAAAAAAAAAAATTAGCCGGGCGTGGTGGCACGTACCTGTAGTCCCAGCCCCTCGGGACTGAGCCGGGAGGATCTCCATAGAGATCAGGAGTGGAGGCTGCCGTGAGCGAGGCCGACGCCACGGCCTTCCAGCCCCGGGCGACGCAGCGAGAACCGCCGGCCTGGAAGATCCGTACACGGATACATGTGCTGGTTTTGTTTCCTCCCCGCTGGGCAGGTGTTCACGACCCTGGACGTCACCAAGTCGTCGGGCCTGGACATCACGCAGAAGGGCTGCTGAGGCTAGCCCCGCTGCCGTCCGCGTCTCCTCGTCCCGGCCGCGTTGCTAGCCCCGGGCCGCCCGTGTTGGCCCTTGAGTGCCAGCCGGGCTACCTTGATGGCCCAGACGCGAGACCCAGACGGGGAGACCCGGCAGCGGCGGGCGCCCGCCCCACCCCCCTCACCCCCGACCCCCGACCCCCACCGGCTCGGGTCACGGCGACGACGGGCAGCCGCCTCGCTGCTTCCTTGACGCCCCTGCCCGGAAGCCCCCCGACACACGCGGCGGGGAGGGCCGGGGCCGACCCTCGCGACAGCGCCAGACCCGAGCCTCTCCGCCGGGACTCCCACCGTCCCCCGTCACCTCCCCCGGCGGCGATGGTCTGTTCCCTCTGCCTGTTTTGTTCTTTCGACGGCGACGGCGACGGTCTTTTTGCACCCCCGGGAGGAAGTCACTCTGCGTGGCCCGTGGCCTCACGAGCTCACCCGCAGAGGAGCGGCAAGGCGGGCGGGCGGGCGGCGGCGGCAGGAGCGGCCAGGCGACGCTCGCCGTGTGCGAGTGTGTGTGTGGCTGGTGGTCACCGGCTGTCCCCTCGTGTCTCCGGCTGTCCCCTCGTGTCACCGGCTGTCCCCTCGTGTCACCGTCCCGACTTGACGTCGTCTCCCTCCCGTTAGTTTCCCCAGACCGAGCCGGAACATCTCACGGCAGGGAAAACTATACTTGAGTCTCTTTTTCACGTTGATCTTAGCAGTAATATTAAAAAAGAAAAAAAAAAAACTTAAGTTTTCGGTCCTGTGTCACACGAAATCTGGTTTCGAGCGGCTTCTAATGATTCGATCGTCGTCCATTCATTCATTCGTTTTTCTTTTCTTTGCTCAAGAGACTGAAATCTATATTTATTTTATTTGTTTCTGAGACAGAGGCTCGCTCTGTCCGCCCGGGCTAGAGCGCCGCGGCGTCGGCCTCGCTCACAGCAGCCTCCGACTCCTGGCCTCGAGTGATCCTCCCGCCTCAGCCTCCCTCCCGAGTGGCTGGGACGACAGGCATGCGCCTCCACGCCCGGCTCGTTTTTTCTATATATATTAGTTGGCCAATTAATTTCTTTCTATTTTTAGTAGAGATTTTTAGTCTCGCTCTTGCTCAGG